CTTATGGAGCCAAGAAATACGTGTACCAAGTTTCAAAAAGCAGTGTTTAAAATGGATTGGCCAGCTCAATCCCCTGACGGATCTTCCAAAAAGCCTTCAGTTTAAAAAATAAAAAAAATATATTACTTTACCACTATTTTACTGCTCCCCTCAAATTTCATATATAAACACAACTTTTTGAATAAATATATCTTACACCCATTCAAATTAAAATATTTTTATTAATAAACGTAGCCAGGGGGAAATATGATAAACTTTTCCATTTCAATTGATGTTAAAATTGTTTAGAATTTTGCATAACTCACACATTTTACAGAAATTGTAAGGAAACCGCATATTTTTTATTAATACAGAACACTTTTAAATATTAATAGAACAATACATGCAAGTACGAAGGACGATCGAAAGGAAAAACACAAATAAACAAATTTTTTGCCTTATCGATCTGGTTGCTGGACAAACAACCCTTACGTGAACTCACTTTTCGCTTTCAGCCCACCTCTCGCGTTAGTTACAACTGCTGCAATAATCCACATACACCCCCTTTGGTTTAGGTTTGCTTGTCTAATTTTTTTACGATTTTCTTCTGTTTCATAAACAAACGAGAACAGGGCTGATAGTTCATTCACTCTATATTTATATAGTTTTTGATTTACTTTTAACACGTTCCCCTTGAAATTTACGGTTTGCTTAAACTTCACTGCATATAAGTCACTTTTTTGGATAAAATATATGTAGGCATACGTATGACACAACTGTGGAAAATCGAGAAAATATCCCCCAAGTACCAGCTTTTCCACGGATGCGCGTTAAATTTTCTTCGTTTGGATTCGCTCGCGACGTTTATACAATCGGTTTTGTAAAAGGATACTGTACGAACTTATATTTTCACACTAAATAATAAATTAATCAAATTTCACAAACCGAATTGTTTCCCGTATGTTTATGGTTTTCAGAAATTTTCCAATTGATAAAAACTACGAGACATGAACGAAGCGGCAGAAACTTAACAAATGTAGACAAATCGGTGGATTTTTGTCTCTTCTTGAACTACTCCACTTTTGGCTGTCAATTAATTGACAGTTACGAAATGCTTTTGTGTTGGTGAGGTGAGAGCACTTTTTGAAACCTCTTTTAGTACAACTGACATTTAAACATTCATGGTGAATGGCTACACAGCGTCGCAATGGGTATGATTTTTCTTACCAAATAATTATAAAAGTTCTCAAATCAGACTGTGGTGAATATGTGCAAACAAATGAATTAATATGAAATGATAATTGCCTCGAACAACTCCTATTTATATATTTTTAAATAAACTCAATGTTCAAATACAATTTTCGACGATATAAAACTGGCCAGGAAAATTTCCACTAAAAACTGCTTTTATTAATTCGTTGACAATTTAATTTACTGCCGAATTCTGAAATTTAATAGTATATAAAACGTTTTCCGCTGAACAATAAAAACTAGGTCTCATGGTAAAGTCAACTTGATGTTTTATTTGTAAATGTAAACTGGGTAGTAAATACCATAAAAATATTATGTTCTCTTTACAAATAATTTAAGTATCGCTTTGAAGCAATTTTATGTAAGTTAATATTTTGAATATTTATGCATACGTTTTGGAGTATATATTATATAATATAAATTGTTAGCAAACATTTTTTGGGTAATTTTTCGGTTATTTAACTCTTTTAAAGGTCATGCAATATCATAATTTGTAATGTCACAAAATTGATTTCCTTTTTAACGAAGTCAAAAAACTTAAGGGTAATACAAGTTACAATTTTTGATAACGTATATCTGACACTTGAGTATTCCCTGATATGCTTTGTAAATCTGCACCGCTCTTGTGCTCATTTTTCAATATAGTAGTACATTCGATACTATAACAAATTCGTTCCTTCAATTTTTTAAGCAGCAAAATACTAATGAAAAACGTCCATGAAGGGAAAATGAGCCTGCTGTGGATTTAGCAAATCTATCAAGTAGCAAACTGTTCCAGCCACACCTTCATATAAGCTATGTGGTCGATCCGGAGTACGCGCACGATGTTTAAATTCAGAATCAGTTAACAATTCCATAAATTTGACGGCGCGGTAGTAATACTTGGGTTCGTTTGTTAAGCGATAGAGTAATAAGAAAACGTACCCGTTTCCAGCAACACCATGGCAAATGCCAGGCCCCTTACGTAAAAAACCTTTCTTCCACACCAAATCAGCGCAGCGGCGCAAAGCCTGCAAGTATTTATCCTCCTTAAATATTAGATATGCTTTAGCAAGTAAATATACTGCTCCTGGCGCACCATGACACCAATGCACTAGACGTTTTTCACGACCACTTTTTAAATCCTCCAATGCGACGGGAAAATTACCCTCCGAATCTTGAAGCGTTAAAAAGAAATCTATTGAACGTTTTATGTCGCGTAATTCTGCACTGGGTGCTGATATTGGATCTGTACGAAACCAAGGGCTATCTAATAACATATGCAAAATTGCGCACACACCGTGAGCAGCACCTAAATATTCTGTTCCGTGGTACTGGTACATTAGAGGCAATGGGGCGTTGGTTTTTTTAGCGTATTCTCTTCCGCTGTTAATTATCATTTGACAAATAGATATTATGTCATCATCAGTTATTTTTTTCTCACAAAGTATATCATTAAGCCAATAACATCCAGAAAGAAAACCTGCTCGGCCTACTAGAACTTCATCGCAACCATATTTAGTATGCATAAATTCTTTGCTGGATGGTATACCAGACTTAAAGCTTGTCAAGTCATCGGATAACTCTTCCATATGTTTTAGATCATGGGAGATTGCTGCAGAAACAGCAAAAATTCCAGCATTTCCACACAGAAATGAATACCTTTCTGCCGAACGTTTTTTGTATCGATCTGCATTGCATTTAGCATTGCGAATAAAAGTTTCTGCATGCTCAAGTGCTGGATAAAGATCTTTAGTATTCTCCGACCTTGATAATTTCCAGAACATAAAGGCAATTCCAGCATTTCCTACGTATAAATCTCCTCTATGGTCTTCTTCCGCATTGCCTATTTGACAGCATTCCATGATTGCATCTATATATGTGCAAATAAGATTCTTAACGTGTTCCTCATCCAAAACTATAGGAGTACTATCTGGACTGATATAGTCGGGAAATGGATTTTCCAAAAATCGTTTCTCCATTTTTATCTGTAAAAATAAATTTGAAAAAAATTATATTATATCGATCTGAATCTTGCAGCCAGACGCTACACCCAAATCGGGTATGTATGCATGACAATATTCTGAAAATATTTAATTTTAATGTTCTTCTACTGACAGAAATCACCTTTTTCTGAATTTAAATTTCTTTTGTCCAAGTGTCCACGATAAATATATTTTTTAAGATTAATAATTTTTTGTTTATGATATTGGCACAATCTGTTTTAAGCCGGTCGCTTGTTTGGTTGGCCAATACTTTGACATTCACAATAATACAAAATTGAAACAAATAAATCATTCACAGTCTGTTTCTAATCGCAGGTGGGTTCCGGTATATTAAAAAAAAATAATAGTTAAAATTATCCTTATCACTTTTAAAATTTTATAAATACTCAATTCACTCTCGCGTCCATTATACTAAGAAAAGGGTTGTGTTTAGTATTGCGCCGGTTAATTTTGGCTCACCGTACCTAAATGAGAGAACCAAATAGAAAATTTTAAACACGCATGTATGCTTAAATTATCGAACTTTATTTTAAA